GTGAAAATATTTTTCATCTTGCTTGGACATTGCCTTGTAGATTCCTGCTGGTAAGCATACCATGGATCTTGTTGCAGTAGATTGGTTCAAAGATACAAAACGAATGGACCATGTTGCAAGGCGCCGTGGTTGCGCAGCGCAAGTAAGTTTTCAGAGGTGTAGTGTCTTGTATCTGATCATTTTACAGGCTAACACTCTGCATCTTCCCCCAACCCCAACCCCAACCCCAACCCCAAACCCAAACACTTCTGGCAAGTTGCACCCCAAAAGAAAAAGTAAAACTAAATTTTGGGACCATGTTTAGGTGATCTTCACAGAGCAAGATCACTAGACTGTCAAAAATTGAGATTCTTGACAGGCTATGCAGGTTGATTGTGCGGAAAAAAAAAGTAGTGCTCCATAACTGAAATTTGGAAAATTCATATATGAGAGAATAGGACACCAAAATTTTGAAAGAAGCAAAACAAATTATTTTGCTGGTTATGGTAGAAAGGATGATACTACTTCAAACTAATTCTGCCCCTGCAATTATGTTTCTGCTATTTGCCAATACTATCTGCACAAGTTTACTTGGCTCGCAAGTTCCTGAAAAGAAGAAAAAAGCTACAATGTATCTTATTTCACGTAACACTTTCTTTATGACAATTTTGGTTATTTGTTGGATGGATCTTTAATATTGTTACTTTATAACTATTGAACTTGCCATGGGCACTTTCTAAGTGAAAAGAAAAGATAAAAATTGACTCAGTAGAAAGTGGAGGTGCAGTTCATTTCTTTTTTGGAAATCCTGAATTTTTACCTCCTGTGTTTGTCCGTGATACTGGTAGAGTTGGTGTACTTTTCCCTAGTAAATTTACTAGATTGGCAATTGTGTCTAAGGGTTCAATTCCTCCCTATCTATTTTCAAACCACTGGGATTGTAATTGAAGTGCAAAACAAAATTGCTTTAGATAAACCATAAGTAGGTAGCTTGTTAGTTATTATTGTCTGGTCACATTTTTTATATAAATGATGTCTTGAAAGTTTTCATAATGAATCCATTGTTAATTCTATTTAATATTGTTCTATTCCAGGTTGCTTCAGAGAAAGGGCTATTCTCTTTGATTGTAAATCTGCAAGTAAGTTGATTCAATTGATGTTATCAGTTTTGTGAATCATTATGTTTCTTCAAAAGCTGATATTTTTCTTCTTAAAGGTGCCTGGATCAACACACTACAGCATGGTTTTCTATCTTGTCACAAAAGCTCTATTACCTGGTTCTCTCTTACAACGATTTGTTGATGGGGATGATGAGTTTCGTAATAGTAGACTAAAACTAATCCCATCAGTGCCCAAGGTACTCTTTGTTCACCTTGCTATTTGTTACGAGTTTAGTTGGTTAGTTGCTCTCTGATGGTACTAGGAATTCTCTAACTGGGCTTCTCATTTTTAACTATGCATACCCGTGTAAGACACTGATCCATGAACATACTACTTTACACAGATTAACTTAAATACACTGAAAACATATTGGCCCTGTTTGGTAAAATGGCTGTTAGCTGATAGCTGTTAGTTGTTAGCTGATTGTGTTAATTAGAGGGTATAAATAGTTGATAACATTAGCTGATTGTAGAAAAGTGTTTGGTAAATTAGCTGTTAGCTGATAGCTGTTTGGTATAATTTCTTTTCTCAAAAAGCTAATTGAAAAAGTTGCTTGGAGTAGCATTTTAAATTTTAGCCTTTTGGAGTTGCAAAAAGCTAATTAACCAAACATTTATATTGATATTTCAACTAAATCAAACAATTAATAGTGGTCAAATAAGCCAAAATTGGCCTATAGGCCAATTTTTTACAAAACAGGGCCATTATATATTTAAAGAAATGGCTTTTTCTATAGTTATTTCAATCAATATGTATATTTCTCTGAATTTGATTAAGGCCCTGTTTGGTAAAATGGCTGTTAGCTGATAGCTGTTAGCAGTTAGCTGATTGTGTTAATTAGAGGGTATAAATAGTTGATAACATTAGCTGATTGTAAAAAAGTGTTTGGTAAATTAGCTGTTAGCTGATAGCTGTTTGGTATAATTTTTTTTTCAAAAGGCTAATTGAAAAAGTTGCTTGGAGTAGCTTTTTGAATTTTAGCCTTTTGGAGTTATAAAAAGCTAATTAACCAAACATTTATATTGATATTTTAACTAAATCAAACAATTAATAGTGGTCAAATAGGCCAAAATTGGCCTATAGGCCAATTTTTTACCAAACAGGGCCTAAAACTTACAAGTTGTGTACAAACATCTGGATAAGAGAGCACCTGTCCCCTAAGCTGAACCCATATGTCCTAGAAAATATAAAATGAAAAAAAAAGGTACAGAATTTACAGAACATGTGTCCCCATGTTTTCTCTGGAATTCCTACATCTGCTCAATTATGATGCGAGTGTATACCTTCAAATATGGTCACCCTACCTCTCAAATTGTTTGTTGAAGATGAGCCATCTCAGAACAATCCCTCCATGCCGAGTAAATAGGACCCTCTCAAGAATAAAAAGATCTTCATATTTTGACATTTGTATTTGAAGATCTGCAGTTTCTCTTAAATTAATGGTTAACCTAACTTCGTATGTAATATGAACATGCTGATATTTTTGTCATCTTTGCAAAACTCTTTTGGCTGCATTAACTTGTATGTTTCTTTTCTTATTTTAGATCAAAACCTCTGTAGATTATGCAATTTTAGAAATTTCATCAGTCATCTTAAATTGATGTTCTTCTCTATATGCTTGTATAAAAGTCCAGAGCTGCTAAAAAAAGATGATGCTCAGCTGTGTTTTTGCTTCAAATAGTTCTTGGTTTCTAGTAAATGATCACATCCTATTGCGAATCCTCCTAAAATAATATCTTACTGTATTATTATTACAGGGCTCATGGATTGTGCGTCAGAGTGTTGGAAGCACCCCTTGCTTACTTGGAAAGGCTGTTGATTGTAACTATATACGAGGTCCCAAGTATTTAGAAGTAAAGTTCCTGTCTCTTAAAGATCACATATATTTGAGTATCCATCGTGCATATATATGCAGATACAGAGTTTGATAAAAATTAAGGTACTCATAGCATTGAGGTTCATTGTGCTTATTTTTCTGTAGATTGATGTTGATATCGGTTCTTCTACTGTCGCAAATGGAGTTCTGGGACTTGTCATTGGTGTAATTACATCACTAGTAGTTGACATGGCTTTTCTCATACAGGTATTTACATCTTTCTACTTTTTCTTTTAAAAAAGAAAATTATCTTTGAGTTATTGTATCTAAAGTATTTGGCATATTATTCTGCTACTCAGGGCAACACTCCCGATGAGTTGCCAGAGCGGCTCCTAGGTGCCGTCCGTGTTTCACATATAGAACTGAAATCTGCTATTGTGCCAACCCTGGAGGGAGTGGAGGCTGATGCATTGGAGTAGGACAAGTGATGACCATTATCAGTTTAATACATTGATTTCTTAGATATATACTAAAATACATATATAATTTTTCTTTTATTAGTTCTTGTAGTCTGTTAACATTTTTTGTACATCCCAGAGTGCAATAACAGGTTCAAATTTTGTGTGGATGGTGTAAAGCAGCAAGGCATTCCTCTCCATTTGTTCATTTTTCATGTTCAGACAAACACAATGAATCATAATGAATCTCACACGTGTTATCATCTTTGTATAAGTGTTTGGGATATTGTTTGTTGTCTGCCTTTGTTCTCTACTGCTCTCCTAAATTTGGCTTCCATTGCATGCCCTGTTTCAATAATTCTACCTCGGTGTTATATGGAATAGGTGTTGAGCCTTTCTTTCTCTTCCAGACTCGTTGATGCCTTTCATTTAGAGTGATAGTGTGAGTCAGATTGACTAGAGAATGAATTTTTTTTTTTTTTTTTTTTTTATACACTAGAGAATGATTCTTTAGAAAGAAAATTCATTTCAGGGTTCGTTTAGCAAGCAGGAAAATGTTTTTTAGAAAATGAGTTATTTTTCAAAAAATATTTTTATTTCTCGTATTTGGTTGTAGATAAAAAAAATTGTGTTTGTGTGTTTGGTTCATTTTCTAAAAAATGATTAGAATTGTATAATTAAATATTTTATATATTTTATTTATAATATAAAAATATCTATAATAATATTAAAACTAATATTATTTATCAAACATTTTAAAAACAATTGGTTACTAGAGATAAACCAGAATTGCTCTGATTTTTGGCGAAAATCAAACTTATGATTTCCGCAAAAAAAAATCTTGTTTTGAGAATTTTGGTGGAAATCAGTTTATGTTAAAATAATTATATGTTTCTCAATTTTCTTTTAAAAAAAATTATATTTTTCTCAGTTAACAAAAAATATTTTTTGTTTATTGGATATTTCAATTGTATCTAAACATTGAAAACTCATAAATGAGTTTTCAAAATAAATAGATGTAATTGAGAACTGAAGTCAACTGGTGATAAACCCAATTACCCACAAAATGATTTGATGAAGCCGACCAAAGAGTAAATGCAATGAATTAGAGTTGAAATAGCGACAAAAACGATTTTAAAATTTCGTTATGATACCGGCAATTTGTAAGGTATGCACGTGGGTGACGTGGTTACAAGCTAGATGTTGTAGGTTACTCCACGGTTATCAACGAAACAACATATAATATTTGCACAAATAAAATGTCTACGGATTTGATTTACACAACCACTAATTTTGCATTACCAAATTTTATCTTAATGTATTGCAACTTTTTTTCCCCCTTAATGAGAGATTAATCACTTCAAAATGATTTAGAAAATGTAACATTTTTCATACCAAACATCTTACTCAATTTGTACTTTAGAAATGATTTATTAAACTGCAGCTAAATTTTCTTGAAATGCCACATTACTCCATATCTTTCAAATCAACTAATGAAACATCAATTCAGTTTTCAATCAATTAATGAGACTTTACTACTTTAGTAAAGAATGTTGTAGTAACTTGCGATGGCACCAATCAATTCATTGATATACAAACAAAAATTTCTATATAAAAAAAATTATGATATATTTAACATGGTATTTCTAAAATCATGTATCCCAAACACAAAACAAAAATACAAAGCATATACTTCCATTGATCAGAGTTAAATATTTGTACTTTCTTCTAGTCCTTTGCCGGCTAGAATCACTATGAGATTTTCGGTAAATCAAAATATTTGCATTTCCAATCTCATCTTCCATTTGTAAGTTTACCAGCAACAAAATCATGGCTACTCCCACAGTTCAAATCGAAATTCATTAACCCTCCATGGAGCTTGATGTTGATGTCCCTCTTGTCATCCTCCTCCTCTTCCCCGAGAAAATCAGAGCTTGGCAAGTTGGCATCCATGGCTTTCCCAATGCTTTCTCCATTCATGCTCTCCATGAAGCTGGAGAGAGCCAAGTTGAAGTCACTAAGCTGAGCTCTTGTTGCCTCTACACTGCTGGGGGAGTTCATGTCTATGGACAGACTCTTCTGTGCTTTCTCCAGTATTGCTTGCAAGTACTTCCCCTGTGCCTCTATTCTCATCTGCAGCTTCTTTTGCACCTGCTCATACCACCAATTCTTCACATTTACTACACTTTGTGTCAAGAACCCACGATCCAAGAACGGAAACTGGAGAATTGAAGTAAACGTAGCCTAATTTTCTTGCCATTTTTATGTAAAACAAATATCTAGCACGGACAGTTCAGTTGGTTCCTGGATGGTAAATTGTAGGCAAGAACACAGAATCGAGCCCTAACAGACCCAGCACGGGCAGTTCAGTTGGTTCCTAAGTGGTAAATTGTGAGCAAGAACACAGGATCGAGCCCTAACAATCCCAGTGTGAGAGTTATCCTCCCACGTAAACTTGATTTATCGGGGCAAAGATTGAAACAAAAAAGAGATTGTGAATTCTGACCTCAAGCTGTTCTTGTAATATATTCTGTACTTCAATCTGACATCTTACTGCATCTCCAAATGGGATTTCTCTGGTTTTTACAGTAGCAAACACTATTCTGTTAATAAACCAAGAAAAGAAGATAAAAAAAAAAAAAGCAATGGATTCCATATGGCCTACCCTTGCATACAGTTCATGCTTGATGAAGGGGTACTTGTGGCTGATGAATGTATACTGAACTGTCTACAAGAATCCCCTGACACACAAACATTAAAGTAAACCTTAAATGTTCAAGATTCAAAACCCAGAAACCACATAATAATTAAGTAGATTACCAGACTAATTAACAGAAAATCATGCAAAAAAAACAACATTAAGGGAAAGCAGTTGAGCCATGTATGTATTCCAGCATCAACTCACCACTGTTCTCTTTGTTCTGGTCTCCTGCATTTTGTTTCTTTCCCTGCTGTCCAAGCCTGTACTTCTGAAGATCATAACAATGGAAAAAAATAAGAGAAATTTGAGTATCTGATTACTACTCTGTATTTTATCATATCAGCTTTAGAATTCTGTATATTATTGTGACTCTAACTTTACCAGTCCTGCCTTAGCTAGGACTAATTCTTGTATCTCTATGAATACATCACATATGTAGTTTGTAAACACGATCAGTCCTGCCCTAGCTAGGACTAATTCTTGTACCTCTATGAATGTATGTAGTTTGTAAACACGATCAGTCCTGCCCTAGCTAGGACTAATTCTTGTATCTCTATGAATACGTCACATATGTACTTTGTAAACACGATCAGTCCTGTCCTAACTATGACTAATTCTTGTATCTCTATGAATACGTCACATATGTACAAACACGATCAGTTTTGCCCTAGCTAGGACTAATTCTTGTATCTCTATGAACGTGAAGTCACATATGTACTCTGTAAACACGATCAGTCCTGCCCTAGCTAGGACTAATTCTTGTATCTCTATGAATACGTCACATATGTACTTAATAAACACGATTGATGAATAATATGGAGTAATAAATAGTCTTTGTAAATTGTACCTGCAAATGGCTCTTGAGATGGTACAATGTCAACCCCTTCAACCCCATCAATCTCAGCACAGATTTTGGCGTTGCTTCTGCAAATTAAAATGCAAACATTTTATATATGTATTGCCCTAAACCCAATCACTTGCAGAGCTGCAGATTTGAGATTTCAATTTGATTAATGTAAACAACAAAAGAAAATTTTCAATGGCTTACTGTCAGGGCCACCAAGCTTGGTCACAGCATCTACGAACCGATCATGAAGATCAGCCGTCCATCTCAGCCTCGGCTTCGGATCTCTCGTCATCATCACTCCACCGCCGCCGCCGCCGCCGTCCCCATACGAGTAGCAGCTCCCTCCGGCGCCACCACCACCGCCACCGCCGCCGTACATTCCGTCCATCACCATCCGGATTCCAGAACAGTAGCAGAAAAAGAATGGATTTTGACTAACCCAACAGGCTCAAACAAAAATGCTCCCTCTTTGTGATCAACAATTCACTGTTCTAAACAATATAATATTTATATATATAAATATTGAAGGCGACGCTATGATTACAGATTTAAGAAGATAATTAAATGTGAAAGTGAATCAAATGATTAGCAGAAAGCCACCATTTTTATATATATCTCTCTACTGGAAGTAAAAGTTTTATTCTTTTTGAACAAATTCCCAGCTTCGAATCAATGCTGACAAAATATATTCTTTATAATAACTGAATTTCGTGTCAAGTTCAATTATCGTTTCTTTCATACATGCAAAATAAAATAATTAAATTAGATGAAAAATAAATTTAATCTGCGAATTTTGATATTAAACCCAGACTTAAATTTACTGATTATAATCTTAGAATGCATTATGAGGAAAGATTGAGGTCGCCATTTGCTTTAATTACACTCTATGAGAAGTTGTTAAGTTAGAACTAATAGGGTGTGTACTGAGTAAATCTTATTTTAATGTAATAATTTGTATTTACTGATATTTTTTTTTTGGAGTGAAAGTCATCAATTTTTACTAAAAAAAAGTAAAAATTCATTAAAATTCTTTTAATTATTACAATCTCATTATTATTGGTATAAATTTATGGTTATTCTAAAATAGATAATGTTATTTTTTTCTATTTCCTAACAATTGTTTGATTTACGTTTATTTCCTTATTACATGACAACAAAAACAGTTCATTTTATGGCGTATCTATCCGTCATGAGTTAAAAAAATTAATAATCAAATATAGAAAAATTCAACCAAAAGTGTCGCACTATGATATGAATATTAAGATGAGATTATATAGGAGGGTGTATAGCATCGTTTTTGTAAAAAAAAAAAATGTTTATAAGAAAATGTTACGGTACTGATTTCTTATAATCGGTACCACGCAAAATGAATGGCAAATTTTTTAAGTTTATAGTGAGTATTATGAGGGCATTGTCCAATTAATAGAAACTCAAAATTTTTACTAAAACATTTAACTTTGTTTTAATATAAGTGATACTGTTATTGATAGTCACGATAAACTTTTGTTATGTTTATATAACATTTTATCATGTTATTAAAAAATATTAAATTTTCTTCACAATGATAGGTGTACAATATTTGTGGTACCAAATCCTAATATCATGCTTTCAAAAAAAAAAAAAAAAAACACCTAATATATATCTATGATGAAAAGAATACAGAGAGGAAAGAATGGCGCCGAATCTGACGAAACACAACATCCCAATAATATATTTGTAGTGTTATAGGGTTTATTATAAAGTGTGACAGGGGAGCATGACTTGCAAACATTGGTGAGCGTTGGATTGCCCGAAAAACGAGAGATTTCATGGGAGGCGATGAAAAGTGAGTCCAAGAAAAGGACTATGTGACACGTGGATGACAAGCTGGAATATTCGGCGGCAAACGAGGGGGAGGAATATTCATGCTCTCACGTGCCACGTCTTAGTCGTATGAGAATAATGTTAAAGACGCCGAAAGCAGTTTCTCCATTAGGTTATTCAAACGAACAAATTTCATAACTTTGATGGACCTCACCTAAGAGGATTGACAACATCCTAACACAATATTTCATATTATAATCGCTATAACATTAATTTGGTCTTATGTTATTGCAAGTGTAAATTAGACCGGCGATACAATTTTGTGTTTATACTATATAGAAAGAGAAATGGGAAGAATTAATAATATTTTATTAATTATTAGATTTTGTAAAGGTAACTACTTTAATGTCCAGGTATAGATGTAATATAATCGAAATGTTGAATAGCTCCAAGCCTCCAATAAGATGAAATTCAGTAATTCGAGCTACTCAAGTAGTGAACAAGATGTGAGAAAAATATAAAATGATCAATCTTGAATATACAAATTTTAAGTTACTTATGTCATGATAACATCTTACAAGTTAGTTGACACGATATCCTTTGATTTGTAGCGGTAATTAATTGTTTAGGTGACACAACAATATACCAATTAGACTCGAGTAGACTGATATGTTTTTATTTTTTTATTTTTAGCTAGTTTAACTATTGTAAGTCTAAGCGTGTTGATTGATATGTTTTTATTTTTATTTTTAAAGCTTGAGTCAGTCTTTTAGAATTTGTATATAAGTTTGATGTAAGTAATATTATTTCAAAGTAAGATGTGTGGAGTGATATTAAGTAAAGATTAATGGAGTAAAAATGATTTTTGAAGATGAAATAATTTCTTAGTTAAAAAAAAAAAAAAAAAAAAAAAAGAACAAATGGAAATATATAATAAGAGAAACGTGGGAGGCACGTGGTAGGTTACTAGGTTGTTCCTGCTAAATGCTAATCATCTTCCTAGATTGGGGTGGCTAGGTTACATCATTTGGGTATTAAATTAAAAGAGCAGAAAGCGGACGGCACGGGATGCCAATTCAAAATGGAATCTCCTTCCATGTTCTTAATTAATAAGTCAATCCATCATTCATCCACTAATGTTTTTTTTTGTTAGATCAAAGTTGTCGTGAACATGGTTTAACTGTATGAGACACATTTAAATCACTCAGACTAATTTCTGTTCGTATCAGGTTGATCATATTGATTTTTTCATACAAAAGGGGATTCGAAATCCCGACATCTTTTATGGGACAAGAGTGCACGGCCACTTACGCCAACTAAATTGGTTATCCACTAATATTATTTAAGCCTACGTACATGTCTACTTATTTAGTACATACCTATGTTACGTTTCAAATAACTCTGATGTACATATTCGACCTGGGTCCATGGTATAATTGCATACATTATCACATGTTTCTACACATCAAGATACAATAGACCTCACATATTAAAACTAAAGTTGTATTTCTAAAACTTGATCCTGAAATCTTAGATTAAATTGAAAGAGACTCACGTCATCTCATTCACACATCATGGGTATAGACGTATAGATTGTGCAATTTGATTTTGACAATTTTAAAGTAATTAATAAAGACTTCAAATGCTAATATCAACTTAAGGAAATTACAACTTTTACTCTTAAATTTGACAGTACACCAACTGATTTGATAATTGAGAATTGAATCTAGTAAATTATCATGATCAAATAAGATTAATTTTAAAGTTGAGGATCAAATTAAATATGATAAAATTCAATAATTAAAAGACCTTTGATGAAATTTAATTTTTTCTTTATTGGCCTATGCCTGAAATTCATAATATAAAATATAATTATTAATTTGTTATAAGTACCAAATTCATATTATTAAGGTACAAAATTTAATAACGCAAAACAAAAAAAAATCATAACACACAAAAGTACAAAAGACATACACATGAACACATAATTTGAGGGGTGAATTGAATTAGCAGAGAATTTGGTGATCTTAGACATACATATGCTGATTAGTACAATATAATTATCATTAAAATATTTAAAAATTGATATTAGGTGCAATATAATAACTAATGTATAATTTTTATACAATTAATCTGTCTTCAAATAAAGTCCTTTTTTCTACAATAAATTTAAATTCAAATCTCAATTTTTTTGGAAGGTTGTGAGTTCAAGCCTCAGTGGAGGCGTTATTGGTTCTTTGTGTTTCAGTAGGTTGAGAAAGTATATGAACAGATACTACAATGTAATAGGGCCAGTAACATTAAAAAAAAAATCTCAATTTTTTTAACATAATAATAATTGTAATTTATTATCGTCACCCAAACACACAAAAAATACTCCCAAAATATTTTTAATAAAACAAGTCTTTGATTGGTTAACCATCAAATTAAACGAAATTCTAAATTGATAGTCACCCAATCAAAATATACAAATTAATTATTTGATATTTGTCTTATTAGAGTAAATGACTAAATGTACAGTTACTCTATTTCTTATTTATAGAAAAAGAATAAAAAGTCACCATTACTCCTAAAAAAGAGTTTTAAACTTCCGTCTTCCCTCCATCATTTCCGGCGTGAGCCTTAACGTTGTCGTCCCCGACGACGGCAGCCGCCGGCGAACCCTTTTCACTGTACTCCCTCACATTTCCGGCCGCTTTTGCCCCTCCAAAACTGCTTATATTCCCAAATATGAGTATTATCATCCCAAGACACGCGGCGCAGAACGCCGTCCCAAACGACTTGCTAATATTCCCGGGAAATGCTGACGCAAGCGCGAACCCGGCGCAGGAGCCCAGTGCCCGGACCCACGAAAACCACACCGAAAACGCCCCTTCTTTCCCCGCCGGCGAGCAGTCCAGCAGCAGCACCCGCCCGAACGCGTGGAGGAAACCGGTGGCGGTGCTCTGGATCGCGGCGAAGAGGAGGAGGTGGCCGGTGCTCCATTTCGCGCGGCGGTAGTAAAACCCGAACCCGGATGTGAGGACCGATAAGAGGAACCCTAGAAGCTGCATCTTCACCGCGTCCAGTTTCATTAGTTGCTGTAATGGGTGCGTTAATGGAAGGGAAAGTATTGGGAAGAGGAAATATGTTAGCCATAGGTAGAGAAGAGTCGGGGCTTCTACGCAAAGGTCTCCGATTGCGTAGAGAACGGCGCCGGCGAATATGCACATTGTAACGAAAGAGGAGAGGAAAACTCCGGCTAAGCTCCCGGCGGCGTGCGGGTATTTGAAGATGGAAATAATATGGGCGTTCCGGGTCGGGTTATCCGGCGGGGCGGGTGTGTTTCCGGGTCTGTACGAACTGAAAATATGGATCATGCCCAGAACCCATATCAGGCCGCTAAAGATCGACACCACCCACAAGCTCGTGAACCCGTCGGAGTTTCGGAGCATGTGGTAAGTGAAGGCGGAGATGGCGGCGGCGCCGAGGCACCCGGCGGCCGTGGCGTGGAGGGAAAGCCAGCTGGCCACCGATCTTCTGTCCGGAAAATGTCGTTGCCGGATTGAGTTGCCGACGAGGCCGCGGACCATTAGGCCGAGGTGGCGGGCGTGGGAGGAGTTGGCGATGGTGTTGGCGGCCACGATGGCGGCGATGTACGGCGGGAAGATCCATCTGGTCCTGAAGAACCCGGCAGGGAGGCAAAAGAGAGCTCCTGCTCCGGTGGCGGCTGCGGCGACGATCTGCTGATTCCGGCCAAAGTCGAGGTGGACGGACAGAATTCCGAGCAGTGGCGCCACTAGAATTAGGCCAATCGCCCAAGAAAAGGATATCCAGTCCAGCGGGGAAAAATTAACGCCGCCGATCTTTATAATCCGATTAGTGACTGTTGTGTATCTGCAATTTAATTACAGCAAATATTTTAATTTATTTTTTCTCATGAAAATTAATTAAACCAATATCGAAAAATATAAAAATTCTTAAACACTATATATAACTAAAACTACCTCATCATATCATTAAAAAAAAAAAACTACAGTACATATATTATTATAATTTATAAAGAGATTTTTCACTTGTATCCCATCAATTAT